GAGAAGCCAACTGCTTATGAGAAAAGGGAGAAATTGACGCATGGATAAGAAATTAAAGCATAAGAAAGAATGCACGACCACCAACAGCCTACGGATTACCGAAGATACACAAAGAAGGCGAACCATTATGGCCGATAGTCAACAGCAAGTTTGTTTGTTTGGAACTCAGAAAATTAAATAGCAGGCTATCAAACATGATAAAGTATTCATATGAATTTTATCAAAAAATCAAAAACATGGCACTGGAAGAAACAGACTTATTGGGAAGTTTTATGTAGAATCTATGTGTACAAATTTCTCCAGAGAAATTTGTCAAATAGACAAGTGAAGTCGATTCTTTGGCCAATTGTCTGCTAAACAGTTGTGGTTTGTTTCCTGTCCTGGGCTATTCGCTTATCCTATATACTCATATCTCCCCTTCAAGATCACAATTTCTTACTTCTTTATCTTAACCTATTTGAAACCTATTAACACTCCCCGCTCGTTTCCACATCCCGCTCACTGTACCGGGAGTATTGACACAGGGCTGCTGTTTAATCCGTAATCCTCTCCCTCCGGGTCCTATCAGAGTCCCCTCCTGCTCCGTAGAATCCTTCCCTTAGTTGCCTATTTCAGTGATTTCACGCAATCGCTGCCACTGTATCTACACTCTGTCTCATGCCTTTGATAGCAAGTACACATCAGACTGACTGAGCAAAGCTCTAAAGTCTGGATTCTCGATTGGCATGACAACCTTATTTGACGCCGCAGATTCCCTTATCGTTGTGCGGCATGTGCACCGAGTAAATCTCCTAGACAAGCCTTTACTTCATGGGCCACACCTATGAGTAAACGTATGTAATAATAGCTAACTAGAAATGGCGTACCATCGTTTCTCTGACTCTTTTATCCCTAATGTCAAGTCTATGACTTTATATCGAGTTCCGACCCCCAAATGTGATGGTTCCACTTGATTTTAATAGGTCTTACTGCCAATATGACTAAGTTGCGAAAACAAGGTCAAATAACTTCTATGCAACGAAAGGAGACCGCAAGCATACAAAAGGCCACACCATCTTGGTCTTCATACCTTCGATTATCTCATTAAATTTAGATAAGATATCTGTAGTGAATTAAATAGTTGAATTCTGAGATTAAATTCTAAACAATCTAACTGCTGACAGAGAAGCGCACTCTCCATGAGAAAAGGGAGAAAATGAAATAAACAATACAAATAGCAATGCTTACGGTCCATCGGACGATGTAGATGCATTCAGTTGGGCAAGGGTTTCACGTAACCCCGATAGTCGACCAATGAGTATGAGTCGTTGGATAGCGGGATCCGTAGGATGAACACTTGAGACCGGAAGTGTAGCCACATGAAAGATCTCCCGATGCGCGTCGACCCACTTAAATGCATCCATGAAATACTAAGAAAACGATAAATAAGTATAAGAAAATGAAAAAAATATACAGAATGTAACTGTTGTGACTAGTTAAAGTGTGATAATTAAAAGATTAAGCTCTAAGAGAATGGACTATCTAAATTGGCTATCTAGTTACTTTAGGCTACAAATTTACTCTAGTTATAAAGATCAATCCGAAATGGGACGAAAGGATATTCACCCTGCAGTTGAGCAGTGAGGAAATTATGAATAAAAAATGTTTCGAAGAATTCCTTGGTGATATATTGTAGATGACATTCCATTTCAAGGAGAAACTTGGTTGGAAGGAATTCATGATGTAGTCTCACCGGAAACCGAAGAAGGATTGCCAAGTAGGGAAGACTTCTGAATTGTTCGAAGAAGTCCTCGACTCACCGTCCTGCAACCTCGATGAAACTGTGCTAAGCTATCGTCTGTACTGTGACAGACATCATCAAAGCAGGTATCCATAGTTAACGAAGTAGAGCAAAAATACACTAAACCAAGACAAAAGGTGGCTGGCTGCAACCCACTAATTCATTTGTGTAACGAAACAGCTCTCACCGAACGCACTTTCGGATCGTAAAGTAACTTGACTCACTCGCAAGCACATCAAGCAAGGTCAAAATAGCCAACCGAATAATGAGATGCCGCATTACGGTCGCGAAGTTTGGTGTATAAGAAAAGAACTAGGGTTGCAGCCAGCCACATTTTCTATAGTTTAGTATATTTTTCCTCTATTTCGTAAAGTATGGATTATTGCTCTGATAATGTCTGCCACAGAACAAACGAAAGATTAGCACAGTTTCATCGGGTTCACCAGACATTGAGCGGAGTACTTATTCGCACAATTAAATAGTCTTTCCTACGCGGTAAAACTCCTTTGGTTTCTAATGAGACCACATCACGATTTCCTTATAACCAACTTTCCCTTCTAAATGTAAAGTCGTGTCGCAATGAATAAAGTAAACGTGTGTAACCAAACACCTACAGGGGTACACAAATTTTATAATTCATAAGATGAAAGCTCACCGGAATTGTTCAAAAAGACATAAAAACAGAATAAAAGTGAAGTTCGCAAATTGAAGATAATATTGAGATTCACTTGGAATAATTTGATTGTGAACTAGTTGATTTCATATTCGAAACCCAGCCCTAGTTTCAG